GCGCGGGGGGCGGGCGCCGGGCGGAGGGCCCAGGCGGACCCCAGCCGCCGAGGCGGGAGAGCGCATCTCCCCTCCGGATTTCACCGGCCGTCCCAGGCTGCACCCGCTGACACTTCGTAGTTTTACAGCTCCGTGGTTTGGAAGCGACCAAAACACTCAAGTCATTTTCTGCGTGTGTCCCAATTCTTCCTTTTATTAGCTGCTCGCCCAGTTTTTGCGCCATCAGCAAAGATTATTAACGGTGACTTTTTAAGAACTTCAAACGCTCCGTGGGAGCACTGAACAGCATCGGGCCAAGCACCCCGGCCAGTACAGGCACTCTAAAAATACCATCGTTTGCTGATTACTCCCTAATGACTACCCTTTGAGATCTGCCAGTTAGTGATTTCTTAATCCATTTAAATGTGCGCTCCATCGATAACGCTTAGATCTCATTAATCAGCCAAGATATCAACGTTATACCGAGTTCGGTGTCTCACAAAAGCCTAAGGCTATTATTTCTACCCATTTCCTTTCATCAGGCCAACCTACGATCTCCAAGGCGGGCAAGCTCACCCTCTCAAAGCCCGTCACCAGACGGATTCGGCAAGCCTCACCTCCTCGCGCGCCCGGGGGCACCACGCACACCCCCTTTCCCACCCCGCCGCCCCGCAACCAAAACCGAGCCGAGGGCAAACTTCCAGCCTCTTTCCGCATGGCTGGCGTAACCTTCGGAGCTCCTGGAGGTGTGCAGCCGGCGCTCCGGAGGTGGCAGCGGCACGGGTTCCTCCAACCACCCACCCTGCGGCTAAATTCCCCGACATTGCAGCCAGCAAGGATGCTAACACACAGGAGGCGTGCCTCTTATCTGGGAGTACCGCCACGGACTGAAGTAAAAGGTTGGTTTTCTCGGGAAAAGCAAGAAGGCACGGGAAAGGCGGTTGCGTTCTCACCCTCTCCCTGAAATACAATCAGAATATGCCTAATGAGGAAACTACGTGCAAGAAATTTAACTCTGTGGTCGTACTCAGTAATTTCACCGGGCACAAGAGCCGCTAGAAGCTGCCACAGAAAGCCTGCACTGCGCTCGACGTATGTGTTCTTTGGGGCCATGCCAATCGTACCAGAGTTGAATCATCACACCGCAGCAGCTCCTGCTCCTCCAGCAATCTCCGTGCAAGCGATACGGCTCCTACAACGCAGCAATCTGTCCGCTCTAAACCTGCAAAACCTGCACCGAGCCAGTCATTAATAACACAGTAAAAACATTTTGGGAAACGCTGCTTCTTTTCCGAAGCCCAGGTGACTCCTAACCGGCGCCAGCCGCCACCAGCAACAAACCAGTCAACCCTTCCCAGCCGTCGCGCTCCCAGCTGAGGTCGGAAGACAGCCGAAAGCCTCCTTCCCACGTGCTGCTTCGGGGGGAAACCACGCAAAACCAACGAATGAGGAAGACAAGCTCTTGAGAGCGGGCCGGCCCTCACAGAGCTCCACCGCAGAGCAGGAACGGGCAACGCCGAGGTTCTCGACGGTTCAATCGCTTACGGACGCTCAACAGAGGGGACACACGGCAAGAGGGGCTACCCAGGCCCTCGCTACATTTTCAGCATGGGATTTCATAGAATCATAGAATCACTAAGGTTGGAAA